ATAACAGTTCCATTAGACAAATCTGGGTCAGTCTTTCCAAAACTTGAAGTTTCAAGTTCACTCTATTAGTGTACATCACATCATCAAGAAAATTACAACACAAAAATAACAGTTCCATTAGACAAATCTGGGTCAGTCTTTCCAAAACTTGAAGTTTCAAGTTCACTCTATTAGTGTACATCACATCATCAAGAAAATTACAACACAAAAATAACAGTTCCATTAGACAAATCTGGGTCAGTCTTTCCAAAACTTGAAGTTTCAAGTTCACTCTATTAGTGTACATCACATCATCAAGAAAATTACAACACAAAAATAACAGTTCCATTAGACAAATCTGGGTCAGTCTTTCCAAAACTTGACGTTTCATGTTCACTCTATTAGTGTACATCACATCATCGAGAAATTACAACACAAAAATAACAGTTTCATTGGACAAATCTGGTTCAGTCTTTCCAAAACTTAAACATTCAAGTCCTCCCCTAGCCTTATCAGTCCAGAAATATAAAACTTCCTACAGGTAGCTCATCCATTTAAATAACTTGAAGAACAAATTAAACTACCTTCATATATTCTTTATTCTAACAAATAGAAGAGTAATTTTTTTTTATTTAATTTTTCATGTATCTTGTATCACTTTGGTAGCCAATTTTTGCAGTTTTGCCAACATACTGATGAACGTTTTATAATTAAACCAAAACTGGGCGTCGCTCCTTATATATGGTCTAGCAAATTTTAAATCTTTCTCCTTCTTTTCAATATCTTGGCACAGAATATATGAACTCAAATTTATCTATCCCAAATGCATGTTATTACTCAGCTTAATATTAAAATACATTTTGAATGTTCTTGATGCATTAGTTAAGACTTCATTTGGAAAAGTGTGTAAAGTTTTGGACACTTTATTTAAGAAAGGATGTTGAATTGTTGGAGAGGGTTTATAGAAAGCTAACAAGATGACTTCAGGTTTGGAGGTGTTGTGATATACGGATATATTGAAATGTCTTGACAATATTTTTAGTGTATATTAAGAGTTGAGAGGACATTATTCAGGTTTTTAAAATTTTTTAGAGGCTTGGAATCCATAAATCTAGATATTTTTTGTAAAACTCGGCAGGCAATAAGACTAGATGACACAAGCTTAAAATATGGAAAACTTACATAAATTCAGTGAAGGCAGTGTTACTGTTCTAATAGGGTAGTCAGCCTAGAAAATAGTTTGCCTTCTGGTGTCATTAGCAGATGCAGGTGTGGTTCGAAGGGTTCGTAGAACCTCCCTAGAGAATTCATTGCATCATTTATTTTATAAAACTAAGGGCTATAGTTAGTAAAAAAAAAATTAGCAAGAATATTTTTTTGTTTCCTTCAGATAGTAAATATGGTATTGCATACTTCAAAATGCCAATTTCAAACATGTGTTTCTAGTATTCTTAGTTATAGTAATGCATACTGTAATTAGTCGAGCATGAAAAACTAGGCTATTTATGTAGTGGATCTGATTTTGTGATTATGATAAGGTGGTGCTGGTTGGAAAAAAAAAAAAAAGTGGGTATATTTCACTTAGTGTGCCTAGAAAAGAAGGGGAGGTTTGTATATTGTATTTTATGAGTAAAGTGATTTTCTGTTGTTTATATATATAATGAACATATTCAGAGCCTAAATTAATCAAAAATTGTTGTTTTCTATCATCTTGTGGGGATTATAAATGTGTAAAATGCACTTACAGTAATGTAGCTATGACCACTCCCCTAGATCCCTAGTTGGAACCTTACTTATCTCCTTCCATACCTGTTGCACTACCTTCCCCAGATATGCTAAAAAAAATCCTGTAGATTTCCTCTCAATAAGTTCCTGTATTTGCCACTGGGTGTGGTAGAAACTGAGATAAACTCCTTATGCAGAGGAGACTCAATAAGTACTTTAGCAATTAGGGTTGGATAGAAGGGTCTAGAAAATAATTCAGATAAGCCAAATGGTCCCTTGTTATACATTACAGATGAAATGTCCTCCCTCAAAACAATATTGGTTATTTCCACAAACTCTATACTAAAGAAATTAGTATTCAACCTGTTTAATTCTTGATTCACCATACAGGGTACGGTACTGTCCGACTCCAGCAGTTGAATGCAAGGTGTTGTATACGGTGCATGTCTCACACAAATTTTGTGCCCATTTAAAGTCAAAGGGTTAAACAATATTAACTCTATCTCCTACAAATTAGATCATATACAAATAGATACTATCTTCCTCAAGATCATTACAACCTAATTTATAATAATTAATTTATAACTATCAAAATGTTTTTCTTATCTATTATAGCAAGCTTATTTTATATTGCACGTTCATTATCATGAATCTATGCTAATCTGAACTAAAAATTAACCTGTTAATTAGTATAGCTAACTTCCTGTATTGCACTAACTAAATGTTACAATGCCTTATAACAAAAATGTATAATGATTACAATACAATGATTTATCAGTTGGTACCCTTGTTAATGGTATTTCTAGCTGTAATAACAGTGTTAACCAAAGGTGCACAGATGATGGGTCAAAGTGCACATGCTATGACCTTCTACAGAGTGCTATTTAGTATGATATTATGTACTTGATGTCACAATTATCAACCATTCATTTTACCCTACACTGTTGATTTAGTGACAGTTAATGGTACAGGGGAATAAATACCAGATATAATATATAGAGATACTGAAAAAACTGTAAGTATGGGTTTCAGAGGTTCTTGATTTTATGCAAATACAATATGCAAACTGTATGATGGACAAAAGTATTTTATTCTTCAAATGACCATCACCTTACTCTATGACTTGTCCGAATCAGACTGATGTCATCAATTCACAGACATATCTTGAGTACAAATACTTATGTAACACACCTGATTTTCTGTGCACAACAGAATTGTATATTTAACTAAAAGTTTGCCACATCTTGTGAATATACATATAGTAATGCTGAAATTATATTCAAAATTCCTTGTCCAATATGGGGCTAACCCTGTGCACATTTAATTAATATTTTGCTATGTAAAGTCACAGTACATAATTATTATAATCAAGTGAAATGTATTCAATGTTTTAATTTAGAACATAATATAATGATTGTATCAACAGCCTTGCAGACATTTTGGCCATCAAGGCATCTGAGAAACTTTCCTCATAGTTCTTTAATAACCTACCATTATCACATCAGGTGTTGCTTGTTACAGTCTTAATTACTCAGGCTTAGGGTCTTCTTAATATTTAAATTGGCGATTTTTTTAGGAAATCTTGTTAAGTTTCAGGCACAGAATTGAGAATCATTGTAGTTTGTACTTTCACTATATTTGTGCTTAACCAAGCTGTAACTAAAAAATTATAAATATTAGTATGCTATCTTATAGTAGTAGTGTTTAAAACGAAATAAATTATCAATAGTTTACCATTATGAGAGTATGAGTATGTAAAAAGGGAATAAACAATATGAAAATTCTTTCTTTCCAAGTTTCTTTTCTTTTTAGTTCGATAAAGGTCTTCACCTCGCCTGTCATAAAACTAAGTACTATAACTTATAAGTCTAGATTATAAATATTAAATTAATAGAAGGTTCTACAGTTCTTCATACATTTCAATTCCGAGAAAAAACAGAAGTGGAAAAAAAAATTGGTATAGTATATAATTATAAATAATATAGGCTAAAGCAAAGTAAAGGTCAAGTTAAAAATTTGAAAGTTTCCGCAGGTATTACATTTTATGTATCCGATTACTGCATACAGTAGATATGGTGTGGCCAAATAATCCCGTTGGTACTATGTAATTTGACTTGTACATTCATTAGATTCAACGTTTTTAAAACGAACTAATTCTAAATGTTTTTAAATAACTTAATCTTAATCGTAGCGATCAGGCTTAACTTAAAAGGCTATAGCATTATGACTTGTCGCAGAGGGCGGGGCACAACAAGACACTACCGATTCGAAGGTTAATGTAAAATAACGATTAAGAACTTTTAACAAGTGAATAACAATTTGGGTGTAGGAGAACAATTAAGAATATATTCAGGCACAATTTATTCTCTTAACACTTCCTATATATAGTTGTTTAATCACATCTTGCTATTTGTTTTAGTAGCAAATGCAATTATTTCCACTCACCAAACGACAATTCAACCACAACTGGTAGCCATCTTTTATCAGCATCATTTCATCCCCCATCCATCGTCGTGTAACCTTATTTACTTGCCAGAAAGATCATTCCTACTCCAAAGATAAGGGGTGAAGGGGGCGGGAAATTTTGTAAATAAGTAAATTTAATTATTGTACTTATACAACGAAGTTACAATGTACAAAATGCGAGCCATATATTCTTGTTCAGAATAATGGAACTATTTTAACTCTATGTTAGAGCACAAGTTATACTATTTAAGATTAATTAACCTAGTGCACTTTGTTCTTTGTTTTAATATCCAGTTTTTATGACAAAGCTACATCGGGCTATCTGCTGTGTCCACCGAGGGGAATCGAACTTCTAATTTTTAGCGTTGTAAATCAGTAGACTTACCGCTGTCCCACCTGGAGACATTTTACAATGAATTATTATTCTGTTCTAACACATCCTATTACAACGCTTATGTAAACAATCGTGAAAACTTATTATGAAAAATAGTTTTATGCAATTAAAGATGATTATAAATTTTTGTTACAAAATTAAATTTATTACAGTTTTATATATATATATATATATAGTGTGAAGATTGATAGTGCGAATTATGATCATAAAACACTTTAGAATAAGTTGGCTGTAGCACCATCTTGCAAGTATTTTGTTGTTACTGAAACTTCTGAAAAAAAAAAAAGAATTTGACATGGGTATTAGGGAGATGAAAGACTTATCTATTTGGGGATATTTAAGTGTGTACTTTTGTATGTGGTTATTCTTTAAGCTTTGCGAGTTAGATTATAGTTGTAACATATGATATAAAAATTTAGAAACAGTCTTGAACAAAAATATAACCCATACACAATTTTTGTATCTTTCGAGCACTTTCATCAGGGTGTTACATTGAAATATTTATAGATAAAAAAATAAACAAATAAATAAAGAGAAAAAATAGATAAATATCAGGAAAAGTTGATCTAAGCACAGTGAAGAACAATTGGGCGAAATAAATTACACTTAAAACTTTGGTTTGTACAAAGTGTTCGTTTCTTGGAAGCTTTTTAGATATATAGCAGCACTTTCCCGTAAACAACATAAAAAACTATCCGTAACAAAATATCTTCCAGTTTTCTAAAACGTTGAGAGTATGTCAGGTACCCAATTATAAAATACTATGGAAACATCGTTTATATATACCTTTATGCATTTTGTTCAAATGGTGAAAAAAAAAAGTGTTAAGAAAAATTATTGTGTTCTGGTTGGACGGAAAATTTGTATTTTACAGAATAGGTTAATGAATACTTCCTTTAACAGATGGCGCAATAGTAATTTAATAAATGTAATGATGTGGAAACGTGAAAGCCTTTAGCGTATATACATCATTGAATAAATATTGTTATTGAGTGTCACTTATAAATATATATTCAATAAATGAGTAACAAATTTATATTTTTAGAAATCTTAAAGTTTCAACGAATTATAACGACCTAAATATATGTGGCCCTAATTCGTCTAATCTCTAATTCCTTGGATCGATGTGAATGAATGAACGACTTTGTAAACTTAAACTATTTCGTAAAAAACTTGGCTTTCATTGGAGCATATGGTTATTTCGTTTTTTCTTTCTAGTCTTTTTTGAGAAGAATCTATATGATAGACATTATGCGCTCGTGCAGAATTACATCAGTTGTCCAAATTCGTGTTACCGTTGACTTCATGGTCAAAAGAGCAATTATGATATATGCTTGGCCAAAATGTTTGCATAGTGTCCTATATTGAAGTTGTTGTCTACATGCATGGAGTAGTTATTGAGTAAATGCCTGAGTTGTTATTCAGGTCTGTATAAGTTGTTTTGAGCATTTGTTCGTCAAAACACACATACACATCTGTTTTGTATAAAAGGATGTGCTTTTGAAAATCTGGTAGACGCCCAAAAACTACTGTGTTGTGATCAGGTTAACTCGTCAAGGTCGAAAGAAGTCTTGCAACACCTTACGACAGGAATGGCATGAACACATTCATTCCAGGTATCCAGAAAAACAGTGAATAGGAGACTGGCCAAATAAGGTTAATTTGCAAGAGAGACTATCAGAATTCACCGCGTCACTGCTTTACTTGGGCAAGACAGCATGCCAACTTACAGTTAGGACACTGACGACATATCAGATAGGTCCTGTTTCCGACTTGTTAAAAGTTATGGTAGGATTCGTGTTCGTCTTTTGTCTGGAGAACAGATGAGAGAAGTCTTTCTTTCTCACAGAGGTTATTGGAATATAGGAAGGCCAACCAAGTTCTGAATGTTTGATATGAACTGATATGAGGTTACGGATGCTAGTTATAATAGTTTGATGTTATATTTTGCCATTATATATACGCTTTGGTAAGGTTTTGTTGTAGTAGATGAAATGATGAATTACACATCTTTCTACAGGTGTCTGATAAAATTGTTTGCTGTTCTAGTAAATCGTTCATGATGTCCATTGAACCTGTCTCATTATACAAATTACATGTGTATATATTTAATATAACACGCAATTCTCAGTTTGACAGTGATAAATGTATTTGTATTCCATCTTAATAATAATCCATCTTTTCGAGCTTCGAGCTACTATCTTCAGTTGTGCAGAGTGACGATATATTAGGTATTATTACATCTACTTACTCCAGCCATCCTCACTTATGGTAATCGAGTGGTAGTTATAAAATCCATTTCATATACTTTGTTGGAAAGCAAGGAATGCTAGTTCCTTTCAGTCAGTGATCCTACAATCAGTGAGTGTCCTATATCTTAGGTAATGAATAGGTGGTAGTTTGGCTAACTATCGGAGCTATCTCTACCTTCTAGATCCAATGTTTCCACACCTGGCTCATTGTGAATAGCCAGATAAATATTTTCTGTTCTTTCCACTTCATCCCCTGGATCCAAAGGAGATAAAATAGAACTCTCATTCTCCTCAGACTCATTGATCTCTTCTCTTGATTCCTGGTCAAGCCAGTGCATAATAAATTTGTCTGTAACATATGGATTCAGCTGGTCGACATATGAGACTAAAACTAAGCTGCTGGCACACACCAAATGTACACCAGCATCTACGATGGCATAACCTAGTTTATCATAGCACCTCTTTTGTTGTATGGCAACTTTTCACATTTGATGGCACACAGACTCTTGTGCATTAACTAATGCAGACCTTAACCTTAAATGTAGGAAGTATACTCTAGGGGGAGGACCCAACGTCACATCTACAGGAAGCAGCAGAGCTTCCTGCCAAAACATCTCTGCTCAAGTTTTCTGTATGCCATTATGGCATAAGATAAGTGTTCACCCTAGTCCGATTGATCAGGATTAAAAACTTGGCAGGCATATGCTTGGCAGTCTGTATTACATATTTCGTTAAACCACCAAACTGGGGGTGGGGGTGTTAAAGTGAAAAATGGATTTTCACCACATCCTAAACTTTACACAGCTCAGAGAACATTTGGCTGTTGAAGTTAGCTCCCTGATACATAAGGTTATTTTCATTCTTCAAATATACTATCCAGATCAACACCAATGCATCATCTATGGACTGTACCATTGTGTCTCTCAATGGAGAAGTGTCGGCCCACTTTGTAATTCATACAATAGTCACGAGTATGTACTAGTAACCTTGTTTCATCTTCAGAAGTGGACCAGCGATAACCAGGGATATTCACTATAAATGGAAACCAACACTTTTCTGTTAGATTTACCATTTTTTGGTCAACTTTCTTCTGTGTGGCCACATTTTACAGTGTTGACACCACCATTAATCATCTAACTCAAATGTGGTCATAAGAACTGTTATCGAATGTTAGTACGAGTACGAGTAACACCTCTGTACCCTCGAGTTTGGGGGTTATGCAAAGTCTAGAGAATCTCTTACTTTAGGGCTCTGGAGACCATTAACTGTAGTACAGGCAGTAATACGGTTTAGTGGTTTGAATGTGATGATAAAGCACATCTTCTTGCACTCATAATTGGTCATACAAGTGACAAAGGTTACGTGTATCCATGTTATGCTCCTCAATCTGAGTTTGTCAAGTTCCATCTTACTGCCTAGCAAGGAGAAACCATGCTAGATCTGAACCCTTCAGCTTCTCTGCCTGAAGCTTATGAACTGTTAATTGCAGTACTCATGTATTTAGTTTAATCCGCTACTGAATAGATCAATGTCATCATTGCAGAAATAGTTTCAATTCCCATATAGTTTCCAGGATTATTACATTCAAAGAACGGAAAGGGTCTCACTATGTGGCGAGACAAACTGTTGGCATTTCTGTATTGTGAGCCCAGACAACGCTGTATGAATGTGGTCCATCTTAGTAGTGAACTTTCTACCATATAAGTGGTGCTTACAAATGGTGTTGATAGAGTATCACGAAGACTACAGCTGCAGTATCTCTTTCTTTATTATAAAGTATCTGTGTTCAGGATTATCGAGTTTGTGATTAGCACATGCGATTACACGTTCCTCTCTACACTCCACCATATAGGTGTGGTAACACAGCTCTGATACCACTATCACTGGTATCTAACAAAAAATCATAGTGTTGTCGGGAATGTGCCATTAATTGGGCTTCCACTAAACCGGGGCTTCTCAGCTGGGTGAATGGTTTACCCAGGGATTAATGAGATCAGAATCAGGGTGAATGAGAATGAAGTGTTGAATGGCAGAATGAATCCGTATTATCAATTATGTCCCCCGGTGGGACAGCAGTAAATCTACGGATTTACAACGGTAAAATCAGGGGTTCGATTCCCCTTGGTGGACACAGCAGATAGCCTGATGTGGCTTTGCTATAAATCACACACACACATATACGTATTATCAATTATACAACAAATTCAAAAGCAAAAAAGTCATTAATTATTATTATTATTTATTTTAGTTGTGGTTTGATAAATACATTTATTTCATGCTGTATTTATTCTAATTGTAGTTTGGTGTATATTTAAGTCATAATCAAGAATTTTGCATTTTAATTAGTACTTTTTGTCTGTTTTCGAACTGGGGTGAGTAA